ATACATCCTCATGGAGTGGTGTCAGGGGTGGGGACATGTTTTTGAGGCATTTTGTTTTTCTTCAGCCTGGGTTAGTCTGAAAAACTGACAGATGGCTCAAGACTGACCACCAGCATGAAAGGGCCTTTAGAAACTGACTGAAACTTTGCTTTGTGTCAGATGATAAGCCAGAGAAGATTGGCTCGAAGGACTGGCATGCCTGTCAATACCCAGCATGGCCATGTTAGTTCACAATGCACGAATATTAATTTGCAATGCATGCTTTGTGTGCACTGGCACACATCATGTGCAATAGAACTTTGCGCTCTCTGGCCTTTATAAGGATGACAGTTGTTCACTTTGCTGACTGGTCTTCAGCTCCCTGTTGCACTTGCTTCCTGTGTGGTTATACGTCTAATTTACTGTTATCGACTGAGCTGGCTACTGGACTACCCTTGCTTCTCTCCTGGATCTGACCTTGGCTCCACTCCATGGATCTGCCTCTGCCTGCTTCCTGTGTATGACCTCAGCTAGCCCTTGACTACGCTCCTGATCTCTCCTCTGCTGATTTTTGTGTTCTGACTTTGGCACTCGTTCTTGACTTGCATGCCTGATGTGACCTGCTTGCTGTGACCTGCCTTCTGCTGTGCCTGGCTGCATGATCCCGTACTCTCCTGAAGGACCAGTCTCACCATCTCCTCCCCATCTGCAGAAGTTCCACTACTACAGCACCACCTGTCCTCTCAGAACAGTTGGCAATCCCTGCTTCTTTGGGCTCAGCATCTCCTGTTACCATTCTCAGGTGTGTGGAGCACTCAGTGAGAAGGAGAGCCTATAATCATTTCGGCTTCAAGACCAGGTATGTGACTTTGTTGTGAGCTTTGAGGAACTTAGAGGACAAATTACTTCACCGTACAAGCAACTAGAGGTCGGGGATGGCTTATTTTGAATCTCTTACTGCTCTTACTAAAGTGCCCAGACTATCAACATTAAAATACTTACATACTGTTTTAGTAATATTTTTAATGTTGATAGTTTGGGCGCAGGTGCACTTTAAACATGGCATCTGCCAAATAGTCTAAGATCAACATAACAGTGAGAACAAAAGTCACCAGCTGCCAACTCTTGTCCCCCCCTGCATAACCTTTTGTTTTTATTACAGTACATGTGTCTTGAAGGTTGACATGTATTTCTTGGTTTCATGTTTAACTTTAAAATGTTCATTAAAATTCCTATCTATATATTTGTATGAAATTATATAAAATACAGAAATGTAAAGAAAGATAAGAAAAAATGTTCAAATGCCAATGGGAAAAAAAACTATGGTACAGCTTTCTTATTACTGACTTCCAGCACTGCATTATTTATATACCTAGGACAAGGTAATGAATCATTCTGTAAAAGTAAACAGTGAGTGCCTGCTCACCATGACTTGCCATCTATTATCCTATCTAATTCACTGCTCAGTAGCTTGCATGAAAGGGTTATTAGGCCAAGGTCATATATACAATGACTGACTGGGGCTAAAAATCATGTATTCCTATGGGAGATGTACTTCCTCTGATCTCCTGGCCTTTCCTACAGCCCATTGGTGGCAAATGAAGGGAAAAGTTTAAACAAAGTTAAGCGGGCATCTTGTAGGTCAGCTGGGCATTCAGTAAACAAATAAATTCAGTCCTGATTGGCGCAGACATGCTTATTTCCCAGAAATGCAGCAATTGTTTTCTTTAAGAACATACTGGAATTATCATCTTAAAAAATAAAAATGCGTAAGATTTATGAGACCGCCAGAGCTTTATTTCCTGGAGAAGCATTCTAAAAATATGATTTTCATCACACATAGAAGATGTTGGAGGGACAAAGTGTAATTAATTACACCCTACAACATTGTGCTGATTGAATCCATGACCCCAACACTTGTAAGGTCAGAGAGTGATAGATTAGTGCTGCATAGAATATTAGGTATGGCGTTTGCTATGGGAAGCTCGTTATATGAGATGTCAGGTCATGTAAATCAAAGGAAACAAATACAAACATCCATCAACAAAATGCAGATAGTGATTACTGGCAGTGAAGATAGAACTGGCAGTGTGAGGCTAAATGTATTTCATCTGTTATCTAAAAAGAGGGACCAGATCCTGAGGGTACACACAAGTGCAGGTATCAGGGTACACATATGTTACTCTAGAAAGTAGAATGGACGATACAGACTTCATTTCTGAACCATACTGTAGTCATATTTCACTATTCTAATGGCTTCTGATTAAGCAAATGTGAAATCTGATTGGTTGTTGTATATTAGTCACATAATCTTTATTTGAACTGCCTTGTTCAATATGGTTATAAGAGGGGTTATATTTTTTTGGAAAAGCTTTAGTTAATTAGTACAATATCAAATCCATTCCACTGCCTGTTTCAATCACTTGGTAGATGCAAGCAAGAAGATATACCCCCTACCCTCAGCATCAATGAAGCCCCATCCACATCTATTAATGCCAATGCTACTGACACATTTTGCTCTGGTTAGCTGTGCGCAAGGCTTTCATTGGGCCCATACCAGACTCTTCCTGTGGTCAATCAAAATCTATCACAATGTCAGCTCAACAGAAGGGACAGAGCTGTGGTCCTCAGGTTGGGGATGTATTTTTTTATCCAAACAGTAAATAGTAAATTAAATTAACAGACTGGATAATTCTCCAGTGAAAGGTAGTGATTTAGACATCTCTACTCTCTGAACCAAGCTAGGTGAGATCTGTCACAGCCACAAAAGTAGTGAACCCTCCTGGTCTAATGACCTAGAAGTTCATTTCACACTGTCATTTTAGCATTTAAACCCTAATTTGTGCACATATTTTGTATTATGCCCAATACCTTATGTAGGCATAGAGTATATAAAAAGAAACACAATACAGACTTTTAGAGTGTACGGTCTCTTGTAAAAGGCATACAATAATAAATTAATTAATTAAAAAGGTAATATTTCACTAAATATGCTTTATTGTTGAAAATCGAAAAACAGCACTGTAAATAATTTAATTTACTCATTCCCTCTTCTCCCCACATTTCTGTGGGGCATAGACTTAAAATGAAATTAAACCCTATTTTTTATGATTTTTTCTTTTTTTTAGAAGAGGTCCACACTAACAATAAATAACAATTCTTCAAAACAATGACAAACAACAATAAATAACAGCAATAACAAAATTGTCTCTAAGCCATCACCCCACTTCCCTCCTGAACAGGTTTTGCAGGTGTCTCCTAAGCTAACTGGCTAATAAGGAGGCACTCATACATACGCGCTCCCATTTGGTATTCTGTGTGTAATTAGACACACACAGCACATTAAATGTATTCCTTTTTTCATGCCTTAAAGCATCATGGCCTTGATTTCTTGTATAATGCACTGCATGTGGGGACAACTTGGCTTTTTTGCTTTGGGTGCTAAAACATCTTAATCCAGAATTGATTGGAAATATGAGGACTGACAGGGAATTCAATTGGATCAGCACACTACAAAGACCCCCTTTAGGTGGTGGTGAAATCTTCCTTTTATCCAACAGTCTAGCATCAGCATCAGTGGGAAATTCTTAGAAAAAGACTCCAGTGAGACTACAGTCCATGAGTATTTAAGTAAGTGATGCTTTATTTTCTGCATGCATCTCAGAAGATAAAAGAATAAAGATGTCTTTTGCTTCTATTATATCTGGTTTTCATCATAATGCTAAAATGCGCTATAATATACATAAAATGCAGTGAGGTTTTTGAAAAAAATACACTTAACTTCTGTATTGTAATATAATCCACACCAGTTGACCAACTGATGGATATTGGACCTGATCTGCAGATTTCCTGCAGTCAGATGATTTGGTCAAAGTGCAAGGAATTGTGGTGAAAAAAACCCTAAAGGACTGAAAGACTAATCTAATAACCTCAGTCTGTTTGTTTTGCTTCAATAGCTACTAACAACCTGCCCGTTACTATCCCATAACAGCACTAACCCTACACACCAACAATTACAATACATCTAAACATCTGTTACCTAATGACAAAGGTATGTCGTTGTTGATAGAGGGGGACTTGCCATGGATGTCATTGTCTGTAGTGGTCTGCACTGTGCAGAAAATACAAAGTAGAATGTTGTTTTCCTATTTTAGGACTATGTTTTCTTATTTTAAGTTAGTTTAATATAAAATGATGTATATGAATATTATGTAGTCTTCTTTGCAGGTAGAGCTCTAGTCCTGCTTTCATATCATTAGCATGATTATGCTAAAATAAGTCTACTGTTTACAGTGCATAATGACTAATCACAGCAGTTACCCATTCCTTATCAAGTGAATCCACAATTTCTATTAGACAGAGGGAGCTGCAAAGCAAGCTGCTCTCTGGGCCATCTCGTTAGATAGCACACAGTAGTTGTATATAGAAGGTGGTAAAACAGATTCAAAACATATAAATGTAAAAAATAATAAAATTGGACCCCAAACCATTTTAATTTTCCTTTACCCTGTTAATGATAAATGCTGCTGCCAGACCATTCATTTTAACAATTTTCCCATAAGATTATATGTATATTTAAAGGGTAACTCCACTGTCATAGAAAAAAGATATATCACGTGAAAAAACAATAATAATGATATAACAGATACAATTGCACAAGCCATGTTGAAATTTAATGTTAATAAAACAAAACCTTACCTTTTCAATCTGCAGTTGCTGTAATTTTCTGTAAAATTGAATGCAATATGGCAACCTGAAGATGTCTATACAGTGCTGGTGTACAGAAGGCCCCCAGATTTTTATTTTCTGCTTGTATGATTGGTTCACTGATTTTACCAGAAGTTTGCATTAACATACAAGTACAATTCTAGACATCCCCTGTAATAAGAATTTAAGTTTTTGTGAGAATCTACCCAAGAGTTAAATCCTTCTAAAGGGATGCTGCTTTCCTCTTTAACCACCTCCCGCCCTCCATATAGTAATATGACGGACGCAAGGTGGTTCTTTCGTTCTGGGAGAGCGTCATATGATGTCCTCCCATTCTCACCGTGCATGCGTGGCTCAGGGAGCACGCAGCACGGCAATCGGCAGTGCGCTGTGTCCCTCGGACACAGCGGATCACTGATCACGGAAAGACCCGAAGATGTCGGCTCGGTCATGTGATCAGCTGTGTCCAATCACAGCTGATCACATGTAAACAGGGAAATGGTGGTTATTGGCATTTCTCTCCTCTCGAGCTGTCACACTGACAGCTTGAGAGGAGAGGAGAGCCGGTAATCGGCTTTCTGCGAAGGGCACTGATGATCAGTGTAGCCCCAGCAGCACCACCTGCCAGTGCTCATCAGTGCCTCGTGCCAGTGCCCATCAGTGCCACATCAATGCCACATATCAGTGCCTACCAGTGTACATCAATGCCACATATCAGTGCCCATCTGAGCTGCCTTTAAGTGTCACCCATCAGTGCCAGTCAGTGCCACCTATCAATGCCAATCAGTGCCACCTATCAGTGCTGCCAATCAGTGCCACCTATCAGTGCAAGTCAGTGCCGCCTATTAGTGCCAGTCAGTGCCATCTATCAGTGCGCATCAGTGCCTCCAATCAGTGCCTGTCAGTGCCGCCTATCAGTGCCAGTCAGCACCGCCTAACAGTGCCAGTCAGTGCCGCCTAACAGTGCCAGTCAGCACCGCCTAACAGTGCCAGTCAGTGCCGCCTAACAGTGCCGCCTATCAGTGCCAGTCAGTGCCACCTATCAGTGCTGCCTATCAGTGCCATATATCAGTGCCATGTATCAGTGCTGCCTTTCAGTGCCCATCAGTGATGCCTGTCAATGCCCATCAGTGCCACCTACCAATGCCTCCTCATCAGTGCCCATCAGTGCAGCCTATCAGTGCCCATCAGTGCAGCCTCATTAGCGCATATCAGTGAAGGAGAAAAATCACTTATTTACAAAATTTTATAACAAAAACTAAAAAAAAAAATTTTTTTTTCTCAAAATTTTCAGTGGTTTTTGGTTTGTTTAAGAAAAAATTAAAAACCCAGAGGTGATTAATTACCACCAAAATAAAGCTCTATCTGTCACAAAAAATTATAAAAATTTCATATGGGTACAGTGTTGCATGAACGCGCAATTTTCATTCAAAATGCGACAGCGCTGAAAGCTGGAAATTGGCCTGGGCAGGAAGGGGGTATAAGTGCCCTGTAGGCTAGCGGTTAAAGCATAGAAAGTGCATCAGCTGATTATAATGAACCAGACCCTCCCATTCAGAATCAGAAGATGATCAGTTTAAAGGAACAATCAACTATTTCTTCACAGCAACAAATGTAGAAATCTGATATAATGTTTATTAACATTTCTGCAGTGTAAATTGATCCCCCAGAAGAGATTGTTTTTTTTTTTTCACAACAGTGGAGGTACTCTTTAAAACTGTCGATTTAACTGTTTCCCAAAACAGGTAAATTCAAGGCATGCTGTTCAATGATAACCATCAAATTTACTTTTGCCCTCAACTGAACTTCCAAACCATCAAATGACTGGTGTCATAATTGATCACATGTGCAGCACCATAGTAATTGCAGATTAAACAGAGGCTAATGTGGCAACTCCCTTGGCTGTAAAGTATTAGAGGGTTTAATTCTGCTTTAAGATATTTTCAGGTATAATATTTACCTGTAAAATCCTCTTTTGTATAGAGAAGAGCCCTGAGACTGCTGTTTGGATGTGATGTCAGCAGCCCCAGCAAACTCAGCAGCCCCAGCAGATTCAAGTGACACTCTACAATTTTCCTTTTTGCTCCTGCCCTACCATGTTACAACACAATGGCATATATGGGAATACATATAGGCTCACAGGCACACATAGCTCCAAACTGTCCCTGATTTTGAGGGACTTTCCCTGGCCTCTTTCCTCCTCATTTGTCCTTCATTTTGGTCTGATGTAGATACTTTTATTAAAAAATGCACTTTATTTACAGTGTTCAGCCTTTCATCCAATTGCTAAATTGTTACATTTGAAAATTTAAAGTGCTAGTATAATGAAATAGTAGTGGTACAAAAAGCCCTTGTGGGTTTAACCGATCATTTTTGTGCATTAATTCTCTGTGTAATGGAATGTAGTAATTTGCCTACATACTTTTTGTCATGTCCATACCTCCCAACGTTCCAGAAAGTTGTGAGGTATGGACATACATGCTTAATTCCAATCTTGGCACCGGGGGGTCTATTTAAGAAACAAAGTGGAACCAGGAAGTTGCTAGATTAGTCTTCAGCTCTGCCACTTGAACCTTTTGTCTAGATCTGCTTTCCATTTGCCAACTTGGCTTACCCTTGGACTTGTATTTGCTCTTCCTTTTTTGTACTGACCTTGGCTAATTTCTAACTATGACTTCTCTTTACTAATTTGCGGTTTGTCCTTGGCTAGACCCTGACCATGGCTTGCCTCTTCTGATCGTCTGTAGTGATCTTGGCTCGTCTCCTGGTCTCAGCTCTGCCTGCTACCCTGCCTGACTACTGCCTGTGCAGACCACACTTCCAGCCTGTTCTGGCCAGCTACATACCTGTCAATGTGCACAAACAGCTCACAGTCAAGCCTGTCTCTAGAAGGAAATTTCCTCTCTTGTCAGCTTGTCTTCCACCTTGGTATGTGATAATCATTTCTGGAAAGGAAAATTGCAGCAATAAAGCATTTAAAATACTTGATTTGTCTGTGTGTTTACTTGCAATTTTCTAAGATGGTGACAGGTTCTCTTCACACTTTGTTTTATTATTGAAATATTACAATTTAGTTGCAAACAGGAAGCACAGCAAACAAAGGACCAAGTACTGGCAGGATCAAAACTTTTTTCTTCTTTTATCAAATGCTTGCAGTGATATTTGTTACAGAACAGAGCAAATTAGAGAAGTTAATTTTTATAGTTTGCATACTTTAACTGGATTTTTCCCTGAGATTCACAATGCTGAAAAGTGTTGAATGCATACCAGTTGTGTATAGTCAACAAACAAGCAATAAATCAGTTATTCACCATTTTATGAACATGCCCCCATATTAGTAACACTAACTACTGGGACACCGAGTGCAAATCAGATTTTTGTCTCAGTTGCCAGTACACTCACCATGACCCTGCTGTCACAGCTGGAGCACCTGATCTTTCTTGTGATAAAGATATTGTCCTAGTTTTGCAGACGTGCATTTTGGAATAGGTTTCACCTTGCCTCGACTTTCACATTTATATCTACAAGGACAAGCTGGAGAATATTTTTTATAGTGAGAGCATAAGCTAAAACTTGCTTTATGAGCAAAAACAAAAAGTAGTATGCGGTATGTCTCAGAGTGAACCCACAGCAAACAGATCCGACAACCTGCTTGTGGAAAATGCTTATTCAGATACCTCCGCGTTCTACATACAAACTCTAAGAAGCCTCTCTCTCTAACAAAAATAGCACATTATTGCAATGTCACATTACATTACCTTAACACTGAACTGCAATGAGTGAATCTACAGTGCCTATAGCTACATAGCTGGAAAAGTGCATTAAAGCATATCCAAAGCCAAAACTTTTTTCATTATGAATGGAGTGGTAACAAGTTAATACATTTGTCAGTTTTTTTTATTGCTTTGTCCCCCCTATGCTGGGCATACACTGTACAAAGGTTATACAGGCAGATATGCTTTAGATTTACAAAACTATTAACATGAGGACACACTTAAACAATCATTTCAAAGCAGGCTGGCCTACATAGTTGTAGATCTAAAGAATATTGTTCAATCAGATCATATAGTGTATAGTCAGTTTTAGGTAGACTCACCCTCTCCAGTGATCATTTTCACCAGGACTGAGAGTGACAGAAAATCCAAACTTTTAATTTGACACCTGAACAGGAATAGAGGGGATACACTTGTTCTATGACAACATTTTAAAATGGTATTTCTCTTATTTTGAAGTTATTTTGGCTTTATCCTGTAGTGTCTATAGGATGGGACACAGACAGCAGAAAAATACCTGAGAAGGGTTTTACCATTCTATACACTATCCAACTCCAGGAAAAGTAAAAGGTCTTCCTTACACTGGAAAGAAAAAAAGGGGAGCACGTCTAAGGGTAGTCGTTTCATCAAAAGATACAAAAAACAGGTTTATTCCCCTCACCTGATGTACAAGTGCAGTGCACCTTTATTTGGAGATGTTACTTTATATCAAGACTGATGCATGTTCTACCTTCCACTGCCAGGGTGCGTGCAGTAGAACTTCATATAACTACCGTATATGGGTCCAGGAGACTGATTTGTTTGCTAAGAATCCCCACATATACCAACAATCAGCTATTCAAGCATTAGATAAAAACAGGGATTTGACAAAGGTTAATTTCAATGAATATTCCCCTCGAGCTTTCTCCCTCTACAAATCCGCCTTTCTCACCTACTCCTCCTCCCTCCACGCCACCAAACAAGTCTACTTCGTAACCCTCATCAACACCCTCTCCACCTGTCCTCGCCGGATCTTCTTCACTTTATCCCTACTCTCTCCCCCCCCCCACCCCCACCCAGTACCTCACTCACCGCCCACGAGATTGCCAATCACTTCCAAAATAAGATCACTATAACCTCCCCAACACTCCGCTCCTTCAGCCTTGCTACCACTGAGGAGGTCACTAAGGTCTTCTCAGAAGCCCGCCTCACCACTTGCCCCCTTGACCTTGTCCCCACACAACTCCTCTGGTCACCCTCCTCCTCCTCCATCCTACGCTTCCTCACCCACATCCTCAATCTCTCCCTCTCTACTGGCGCATTCCCCTCCCCCCTAAAGCATGCGCACATCACCCCCATACTCAAAAACCCCTCCCTGGACCCCACCGACCTGAACAACCTTAGACCCATCTCCCTGCTGCCATTTACTTCCAAGCTCCTTGAGCGCTTAGTCTACAATCTCCTAAGCGCTCACCTCACTGACAACAACCTCCTTGATCCACTACAGTCTGGCTTCCGTCCCCTACACTCTACCGAAACCGCCCTACTCAAAATCACTAATGACCTGCTAACCGCCAAAGCTAATAGCCACTACTCAGTCCTCTTACTCCTCGACCTTTCCGCGGCCTTCGACACAGTCGACCACCCCCTGCTCCTTAACAAACTACACTCTCTCGGAATCAGAGACTCCGCTCTCTCCTGGCTCTCCTCCTATCTATCCCAACGCTCCTTCAGCATTACCTATAACGCTACCACCTCCCCCTCTCTCCCCCTCTCTGCTGGGGTCCCCCAAGGCTCGGTCCTCGGGCCCCTTCTCTTCTCCATCTACACCTCCTCCCTCGGCAAACTGATACACTCCTACGGCTTCAACTATAACCTCTACGCTGATGACACGCAAATTTACCTCTCCACCCCTCGCCTCACCCCTTCAGTCTACACCCGTATCACCCACCTACTGAACGACATATCAGACTGGATGTCGCTCCATTTCCTCAAACTGAACCTTTCCAAAACCGAGCTCCTGATTTTCCCCCCAGCCCGTGCCCCCCCCCCACCCTCTCCATCATGACCAACAACGCCACCATCAGTCCCACCCCACAAGCCAAAGTACTAGGTGTCACTCTAGACTCAAACCTGTCCTTCTAACCCCATGTCC